AATGTGTTTGTGATTAGTAGCTCTATTGATTGCAGTGACATCACGTGAACATACCTGAGTGATGGTTATTTCGCCAGGCTAGTTGGAATTAGAATATATCTGCAGGAGTTAAATGACCTTTAGGATTTTTTTAAACTTTAGTATAAATTCTGGAATTTTTTTTCCGGGTGCCGTTATTTCAAATTGCGTTTGTTTTAATTAAATCACGTGACAAAGACGGGCGGAAACCTTTGAACGCGCCTTTCCTGTTTTGTTGCACGCCATGTAACGTAACCGAACTTTCTGAATGACAAGAGACACACAGGGAAATTTCAGGAAAGCGTGGACTATCAAAAGCTAAACTAAAAACAGCTCTAATACAAATAATCTTTTTTTTTCTTAAAAAATCAAATGCATTTTTAAGCATTTCATCTCAGAGTCTGCTTTATATGTCTCAGTATAATTTATGATAAAACCATATGAAGACGCAGCTACCGTGCTGGTTATTGATTAGTCTTTGGGGGGCATATCAGGCCTGTTTTTGGCATCTGTTGTCCTAAATATTTTTAGAGGCGAAGCGGCCTGCTGTACGCTCCGTTTCTATACAAGTTTGTTTTCATGTCTATTGAAACCGAGAGCAGAGAAGAAACGTGAGTCCAATTCTTTCTGCCAATCGATCAGACTGCGGATAGATCAATATGGCACCAGGGCTATTGATCACTATGGTCCTCTATTGCTGGACGCTTTCAAATGCAAATGTACCTAAATAATAATCTATGGCAACACACTAATTCCTTAACAAACTGCAGACAAACGCTTTACAAACACAGCTATTCAATGTGCAAGCCATTCTTTTTTTCAGCATTTAGGTCTTTTAAACTTGGCTGCAGAGCTCTGACTGTGAAACAAACTGTTAAACAGTGGGCTGCCGTTTAAAGATTTAACAGGACAAACATGGAACATTCAAAATGCAGGGTGACATTGATTTGGCCTGTAGCTTATTGAAACTTTACAGAAAATGTTTGAAGGCGAGGCTGTAAAAGTTAAAGGTCTGTAGAAAAAAGATCAGGTTTATAAAATTAGGACGAAAATCCAGCACTGAAAAAGCACCGCGTGCACAGCTGAGCGACACAAACGCTGAATAATTGGAATACATTTGGCGTTTTGCCGACCATGTGAAATTATGATGTCGTATTTGTGACTGTTTAACAGTTATGTCTCTCTCTCTCTCTCTCTCTCTCTCTCTCTCTCTCACACACACACACACACACACACACACACACACACACACACACACACACACACACACACACACACACTTACTTAAAGTAAAGCCACTGGCAAACAAGATACATGTGGTAAGTTTAGTCTCCAGGAAGGCCACACCGGCGCGCGCGCGTGTGTGTGTGTAGCTACTGGGATGAGTGCAGCAGAGCCCCGTCCCGCTGACTTGCTCAGAGGCCTGATCAATGCGACATTACTAAACACTGCTACTTAACTTTTGCCAATAGCCAGTTTCAAGTAAATATACTTTAGAATACATTAAGCGTGATGCATCAGCCACGGAGTCATTCAAGAAGTCATGAAAAGATTAGTCTGTCTTTATCGAGTGATTCCTGGGAAAATAGACAAGCTTACAGAAGCGCTGGGCCGATTCAAAAAACAAAAAGTCTTTGTGTTACAATTACATAAAATGAAATTTTGTCTTGGAAATGTTCTCATGTGTGGCTTTGTTTTAAAAATAAATAAATTAATAATAATAATAATAATAATAATAATAATAATAATAATAATAATAATAATAATTTTCGAAAGAGAATTTCACGCAGCGAAAAAGAAATTGTGGTGTGCAGTCTGCAGTTTCCAGCACTCAGACACATGAGTAGCAGGGCTTAAACTGCTTCCTGTAATGAAAATGCCTGTTGACACAGGTCAAACACATCACTGGACAGACGTAACTTGAGCCTTTTTCACAGGTTACATTTTTTTGGCCACTATCGATCTTTCACAAATACATTGATCGAAGCTCCGGGTTGAGGGTTCACTATTGATTAGTTGATCAGCAGAGGACAGCAGTGCTTAAAGATAAAAACAAAACGCTTTGAGGCCTCATTACAGACTCCAGCGGTGACTTTACAAACTCACACATACTTTTAGAAATGTTTAACTTTTAAAAAATATAATTTGATGTTAATAACAAGGAAATCAAAACACACAAACATTGCTGCACAATCGTTGCGGTGTGTGTGTGTGTGTGTGTGTGTGTGTGTGTGTGTGTGTGTGTGTGTGTGTGTGTGTGTGTGTGTGTGTGTGTGTGTGTAAAGTCGATGCCAACGTGGTGCTGAGGCCACCGCCTCGCCCGCTATTATTAATATGAAATAAATCACCGGGTCTGCGCGGCATCGCCCCAGTCACACCGCAGGTATTGACACAGTTAATATTTCATATTGTATTTGCCATAGGATATGCTTATTTAGGTATTCGAAAAGAGTACATTAAAATACAAATTAAAACTAAGCTCTAGGCGGATGCATGGATTTTTGAGGGGGGTCTGGGGAAATGGCTGGGTTTTTTTTTTCAATTCAAATTTTATTTTGGCTTTCTGTGAACGAGGTTTGATGAAGTAGCGCAAAACTAAAGAACTGTCTGGAATACGCGACGTGTCCTGATCACTTCACTTCCCCACGCCCTGCTGGAGTCGTAGGCCTCACCTGAGTAAAGATGACCCGCACATGTGGCCTAATAACAGACTCAGATTTGAAAGAAGACTGACAGACGAAGGGGGAGCTTTAGCTATTGAGTTTACAAGTTCTTGGTGAAAGCATAAAACTTTTCAGCGCGTTGTTTTGGGTTGTAAACCCTGGTGAATTAGGAGCAGGGAGCCAACAATGAAAGTTAACATCCATCACCACCGCGACCAATAAGCTGCTCTGGCCGGCTGGCTGAGCACAGATGACGGATTCGCTGCTGTGCGGGCTTCGGTAATTCATTTTCGATAGCAGTGGTTGCTGGGATCAATACAGGGACATTAACCCAAGCGGACACTGCTGTTCTCCTGATGGCACAAGCCAAAAGCCACCATCCCCCGTTGGCAATCAGCAAAGACACAGTTTTTAGGGTCATCCTTTGCAGGAGAGCTGTGTGCCAAGGCCACGGTGTTGTGATATCACAATTCATCGGTGAAGTAATGGATGGCCGTGACCTAACAGTTGGTAAACACTGCTCAGGGAAATTATTTTATGCAATTTGCAAATGATTAGTGATGCCACTTTCTGGAGTGTTAGACTATTTTTTCCCCAGCTTCGGGTCGAAATCCTAATGGGCTCATTTTACATAACATCGGTGTAAATGCCATGGCTCCTCACTTGATAACTGTGTTCACAGAGTGCAGCAGCAACTAACGACTTACACGGGACTGCTGGTTACTGCACACACACACACACACACACACACACACACACACACACACACACACACACACACACACACACACACACACACACACACACACACACACACACACAGAGTTTACAGATTTCACAGAGGTGTTTATGTTGTGATTTTAGGAGATTAATGAGCAAATTTCATTCTATGTGTCCTCACACAACTGCATATATAGACGGCACACGGCAGTTTATTATATGCACCTATTTATCTATTTATTTATATAAAATAAATTAAATGTATTACTTATTCTTATTTTATTTTATTTTAATTCATTTATTTCTTTTTTTTACTGAACTTCACGTTGCCATAGACTCATTTGGTAAATTTTGGGCATTTAGTGACGTAACGGAAAATCACCACTGTAACAGGTCATCAAGTCAAAAACACTGTGCGTGCTTTAACAAATTGATTATTGAATTATTAGTTATGTATGCGACAGATTTTACCTAGTGACAAGCAGCAGTACACAACGTACTAAATGTACTTGGTGCTTATAGTAGCTGAAAAAGTATTTAACGACCTCAGTGAAGTTTTATGCTCTCCACTACCTATTATTTCTCCCATTTCACACAATCCAATCACTCGATCTCAACAAGCTGCTATATGGTATCCATACTGCGGGCCTCTGCAATAGGCACCAACCTATCGATGGATCCCCTGATCCATACATACGCTGATATTGATAGATTGCTGAACTGGATTGACACCAGCGAGCACCAAGCAAGTTTTACGCAGAAGTTTTGAAGGGATATCATGTCGGAATTTGTGTGAGAGAGTTTGATTTTCGTGGCCTGAATTCGTGGAGCAAAGAAGCGAAAGGGGTCAAAGCCTGGAGGCAATGATGAAATAAAGCTCGACAAATTTATTCAGAAACATTTGCTAGAGGAAAAAAACCCCCAAAACTTTTCTTTAAAAAAGTTATGAGTATAAGCAAAAATTTCAGATGTGTGCTTTAGGAAAGTGGCTGTAAAGTAAGTGTCAAGGGTCAGACACGGGTCTTAAGGCTGTAATTCACACGTTTTATTGCACTGTTAAATATTTTATTGTCTATATAAACACAATCCTTTGAATATGTAGCACTAAATAGCGCATGCTTAATTTACAGTTGGAAAAACCAAGACTGTTAGGCATGACTTGCACTTCCAGATGTGCTTTTTTACCTGCCCTCGTGATCTGTTGTGACATGTTTAACCTCCAACACAGCTATCACATGTGCTGCTGGCGCCTGTGAAACACTTTTATCAGACAAAACAAGGAGCGGGTCCTTCTTATCCATCTGAGTGTAAATGTTGCGCATTCTGTCTTTTATCTAACGTGTCTAACGCAATCTTTTCGAGGATTTGAGGGTCCACGCTTTACAACGCGAGCGAGCCCTGACACGGGGGCCAGTGACGTCAGATTGGCCCCAGACAGGGTTCGCGAGTGCGAGGATAGGCCACGGGGGCGCGCACTTGCGCACAGGCTCAGGCTCGGTCTCATTTTAACAGGAGCGCGGGCACGTCAATATACACACAGCGAGCCGAGCAGCGCTTTGGGTATAGTAGAAGGTGCTCAGCGGAGAGAAACCAGGCAGGCGCAGACACCTTCACGCACCGAGCAGCGGTTTGTTTGGCGGCCGGGACCCGATCCTTTAAAACCATGCTGGATTGACTGCGGAGAGGCAACTCCAATCAATGGCTTGGCTTTGAAATCGTTTCAAATTTATTGGAAAGGAGCGCGAGATAGAGCGACAGAGGGAGTGGGAGAGAGAGGGAGAGCGAGAGAGTGGCGCGAGGGGTGGAAATAAAGATCTTTTCAACGATGGAGCTGACAATGGAAAACATCGGAAATCTGCACGGTGTATCTCACTCCCATCAAACCAGCGACTTAATGAACTCCCCGCACGCGCGCCAGTCGTCGGCGTCGCATCGGAACTTGGTGTCGCACGGGCGGTCAGCCATGGTGTCCAGCATGGCCTCGATACTGGAGGGAGCGGGGGACTATCGCCCAGACCACGCTTTGTCTGGCCCCCTGCATCCGGCTATGACCATGTCGTGCGACTCCGGGATGAGCCTGAGCAGCACCTACACAACGCTGACGCCGCTACAGCACCTGCCCCCCATATCCACGGTCTCGGAGAAATTTCACCATCCACACCCGCATGCTCACCACCATCCAGCACACCAGAGACTTGCAGCTGGGAATGTCAGCGGCAGCTTCACCCTGATGAGAGACGACCGAAGCCTCGCCTCTATGAGTAACCTCTATGGCCACTACCCCAAAGATATGTCCGGGATGGGGCAGCCCTTGTCACCCCTGTCCAACGGGCTCGGGTCTTTGCACAGCTCCCAGCAGACTCTCAGCGCCTACGGTGCCGGAGCTCACCTCTCCAACGACAAGATGCTCTCCTCGGGGGGGTTCGAGTCTCACGCAGCCATGCTGTCCAGGGGTGAAGAGCACTTGGCCCGCGGTCTCGGGGGTCACGGGGGCGGGCTAATGACATCCTTGAACGGTATACACCATCACAGCCATCCGCACTCTCAGGCAAACGGATCCATGCTCTCAGACCGAGACAGGCAGACGGTGGTGGGAGGCGGGCAAGGTGCTGGGTCAGGGCAGGTGGAAGAGATAAACACCAAGGAGGTGGCACAGCGAATAACAGCAGAGCTCAAGCGCTACAGCATCCCCCAGGCCATCTTTGCTCAGAGGATCTTGTGTCGGTCCCAGGGAACTCTGTCTGACCTGCTGCGGAATCCTAAACCTTGGAGTAAACTCAAGTCGGGCCGAGAGACGTTCAGGAGGATGTGGAAGTGGCTCCAGGAGCCCGAGTTCCAGCGGATGTCAGCGCTGAGGCTTGCAGGTGAGTGAGGAGACAGCCTGAGTGATGTGGAGGGATCAATTAGAAGTCAATGTGGCGAGACTGTCAATAGCAGCTCAAATAGACATTAGTAGAAGTTATTAGTCGATTGTATCGAGTAAAAGTTCATCATGACAGTTGAGGTGTTAAATGTTTAGAGAGATCTATATTTTGATTGATGCTACAATGCACAGTAATATAAACATACATTGTGTGATAAACAAAAGAGAAGCGCTGTCTGTCATAAACAGACAGACTCCAAACCAAACCGAGTCTGCTCAGACACTTTTGGCTTTACGCACGTTTACGCACGAGTACAGTATGCATGCGTGCATCCATCTTCCTCTGTCTCACTCTCTCCCCCCCCCTCTCTCTCTCTCTCTCTCACACACACACACACACACACACACACACACACACACACACACACACACACACACACACACACACACACACACACATGCACGCAGAAAGAGGCGAAACAAAGGAACTCAGAGCGAGAAGTGAAATTGATTAAATCTTACTTGAAAGGTAAACGCTATACTTTGATATCATTGTGCCCCGAACACCCAGTTTTATTTATTTAACAAACCTCATCTAATTCTTTGGCTCTCTCCTTGTCAAATATGCGCGTGGTCACAAACAAGGATCGTCTGAGGCCTGGCCAAAGAGCCTGGGGAGCATGACCTCCTATGGATCAATATTCCAGGTCCAGGCGTCCCCTTTCAGAGTAGCGCAGTGATAAATGATCGATCTGGATCTGTAAGACACAAACAGATGCGTCTTTCTCTGGTCTGTGTTGTCCCCTCTTCTCTCTGGGATCTCTGTCTACTAATTTGATTTAAGGCCTATTTAGTCATTGTGCTGAGAAATTGTTTATTGCTGTTTGTGAAGTTATATGAGATCTCAGCTTAACAGGACAAATACTAAATGTGGCACAAACCCTCTCTGCCTCAGCATTTCGGTTTTCTGAATGGTTCGCCACTTTGATCCATCGTTTCGATTTTTATCGCGCAAAGATTGTCACATTAAAGGCTGTGATTTGAACCCAAATCTCTGCCTACTTTAAAGTCTTTAACACTTGCAACCTGATTAATAGGATATAAATGAAAACAAGCTCTACGGTGGAGTTAATACAAAGATGTGAGTGAAAGGTCCCCCATCATTGATGTTTCTGTAAAGGCCTTGTTTAGACGCGCTGCTCTTCCAAACGTCAATCAGCGCTTCTGCGTCGTATTTCAGTGAACAGTTCAATTAAGCAGATATAGTGGCATATTTTAGTTCCAGTCAATGCCCTATTGAAAAGCACTTAATGGCATGTAAATTGTTCCTTTGCGTATTTAGTGGGGTTCTGGTAAATAAAGATTTAAACACTCCACAATTGTCTCTTTAAGTGCCACTGCTGTTAAAGCTAATTGGGCAGTGGGGTTTTATATCTTCCACACCCGGCACCAGGATAAAACCCTCAATTCAACTAGCGTGCTGGAGTGGCACAGTCCTGTGCAGCACACGGCTGCCGCATATTTGAATGTGCTCAGGTCCAGGACAGACTAGAGGTGCTCAGTGGTGAACGAAAATAAGAGCTGCACTGTTTTACCACATTTTAGTTTACCAGAAAGTGCAAATGTTATCAACATTAAATGAATAAATGAAGTTTATTCGAAATTCCCACCACACAATTAATAAATACTTCTTTTTGGAAAAAGCTGATTCTTAAGCCTTCACTGTGCATCAACCTGCTGCCACAGCAGAAGCAAGGACACTCTAGGTGGGTTAAAATGACAAATGACTCGTATGTAAATGCAGGGAGCAACATTTTACTCATTGCATTTAAAATCACAATTATCCTCGGCTTTCATGTGGGTTGGGAGTGGGAGTTGGGGGAGGCGGGTGGGGGTTTGGATGCTGAAAGTGAGGCTGGGCCATACTCGCTCGGCCACATCAATCAATAAATTCAAATTACTATTCCAAATTCATCACAGTCACACGAATCAATGCAGCTGCCCTGCTTAGCTAATGCGAAAATACCAGTGTCCGCGCGCACACACATGACAATTCACTGCCGACAGGAAAAGCAGAGCAAAGGTGGGCACGTTTGGAGGGGGGATGTGTGTCCTTCACGCTTAACATCTCCTAATGCTTTCTCCACTTACCGTGTTCTTCATATGCAGACCTGTAACACACTGGCCACGTAAACAAAAGGCATTTCCACACTCTGAACATATATTATGCAGACGGCTGTTGTGTAAGCGGGCAGCTTTAAGAGAGACGCGGGCAGAGTGAGGTTTGGGGGGCATTTAAAGATCGCATTAACGATGAAAACAATTCGTCTTTGCATCTGTGTTGAATTCCACACTCCATCTCAATGTATTTGGTCGAGTCAATACAGCCCTGATCGATAAGGATAGCCAGTGCATCTATCAATTATCCCGCCTCAGCACTCTCTCCCATTGGTTTCTCCCCTGGAGCAGAAGGGAGGGGGGGAAGGCGGGAGCCGGAAAAGGTTGGGAAAGGGGACAGCTGGTTTAAAAAAACGCCCCTGCACATATTTTTCTTTCCTGTTATCATGTTCTGTTTGTTTATGCGGTGTATAATCCCTTGTTTGTTCTTTGGGGGTTCGTGCACCCGGGTAATGTTCACGTTTTTCCAACAGATGTTGGACAACACGGAAAATATCATCAGAAAAAATACATTCCTACCTTCCAGGAATACCCGCTTCGTTTCCTTCCATTTACCAGTGATAATGTGCCATGGCATGCCAGGGTCCCCCCTTTCTCTCTCTCCCTCTCTGTCAAAAAGAAGCGGTTCATTTCCATCTAAATGGCCGGAGCACGTGCCAGGGTGTGGAGGTCAAGACCCACAGGACACAGAGGAAAAACATTGTCGAGAATGACGGTGGGAGGCCTCTATTCATGTTTCAATGGACTACATGCAGTTTACACAGGCCTAATCCTGGAGCTATACTCCAGCTCATCCACCACCATCCCCCCCATCAGCGTCACTCTGCGCCCTTTCCTCTCTGCACTAATCCATTCATTTTCCTGGGTAAATATATGTATTTATTAAGATCCCCAGCCCATTTCCATTCCTTACAACGCACGGTCTTAATTTTGGTTAGGGGTTCATCATTTTGAGATAAACTCGGGCTTTTATATCAAACTGATGAATTCTGGGTGTTTTGTATATTTTAATTAAATTGTTGCTTTTCTTTAAATTAAATCGATGTGTGTTGGTTTGTGTGTGGCACACAGAAGGTGGTTAAAGCTTTGTGTTTATGTCCACAAAGCGTTTTCCTGCTGGTCAGTTTCTGGCGCTGTCCAGAGTGCTGAAATATCCACCGCAGGTTTGAGGACAGTCGAAGGTGGTGATCTGGAGTTTTCCAAATACATACTTGATACCGTTCTTGTGGCCTCTAAACACCATTATTTCATCCAACAGCTTCCACCCAACGATCAATATTACAATCCACAATCGCGTCAATCACACCACCACGCATCCTACTTTCCAGTCCAGCACGGAGCCCATCGGGGTTTCCATTTAAATCACATCTCCAGCTTCTTTTAGCAGCTGCAGATACAAAGTGGAGGTCATCTTTATTTTGGGATTTTCACGGAAATATCCTGACGTAATAAAAATGCCTAAAAGGTGTGATGTTTTTTTTTTTTAATCTAGTATAACGGGTTTCACTGGTAGAAACATGTGATTGATGAGGGATAATCTCAAACAGCATTTTTTTTTACATGAAAAGATGGCTTGATGCTGGCCTGCGAAATAATCGATTGGTACGTTAATAATTGATGTATGAGGGGAAGATAGGGGAGTAAACAGTGCAGCTGTGGTTTCAGAGCTTCGTTGTTCGTTAAGCACAGCATCATGTGCTGTAAGTACTGAGACACGCGTGTACAAGCATCGCCTTTTCAATCCCCTGGTGGGAGGGCAACAGTCATTTTCTTGAGGTTATACCTCGAGGCTATTTTGTTTAAATCCCGAGTTCAGTGAAGCTCACTCCAAATGAAATGACATTATCTGTAGCCTCGTGTGGAGAGGCTGGCTGGACTCCTAAACAAACACATTTAGAGGAATCCTGATGTTCGAGTGTGAAATGAGGACTCATAATAATGCACTGCTGGAGTCATGCTGGAACTGCAAAACAGCACAAAGCAAAACCATATACGTTAATTCCCACAGGATAGTGTTTTACCACCAGCACCTCGCAATTGTCGCCTCCTCCATTTCTTCTCTCCAGTATGTGTGTGATCGGGATGCAGAGTGCGTCTGCGCCAATTGTTAAGGCCGATCTGGTGAGCCCTGAATCTGTATCGATTTCCATTCCCCGGCATCTCCTTCCCATCTCTGGAGCTGCGCCATGCGGCCATGCAACCCCCTCCATCTCCGCCATGCAACACCCTCCCTCCCATTAACAGCTCACCTTTCATAACACATAACAGGACGAATCTTACGGAGCTGTCAAGTGAAAGTCTGAGAGTTTGGCTTCCCTTTAAGGCTGTGCTATAGTGGGATTAGCAGCGAGAGACGACTCACAGTTCACAGTCGTTTAACCTCTTTTTGCTCATCACACATCCCACCCACACTGGCCGTCCCGCATAGCCGGCTCTGACCACGTCGACCTTATTATTCAAAATAATGTCATTTTAATAGAAATCAGATTAGCCTGACTGAAGCCGGAGCCCGCGTCGTCTCTCCCACGTCTTCACCCGTTCCTCTCACAGCGCGCGCACGTTCCAATTCACACGGGGTGCGTGGTTAGCAATTATAAATGCAGCAGCGCTCCGTACAGTCTCCAATACCGTCTCTTCTATTTTAGATGATCAATTCCTACGCTGCTCAGTCGCCCCCTCTCCAAACCGGATCGATAGGAGAGAATGACCTTTAAATCAAATTGCTGGCAGAGTCAACGGCATGCACGCGGCTCGCATCAGAGGGTTAATGGCACCGCGCGCGTCCCCTACTTCCAAGTAAAAACACAAAAGGTCCAAAGCAAA